AGAAGGCAATGGATGCCACTTTAATCTTAAGGAATTCTGTTGGTATAATAGCTGATCAGTCGGCTGTTAAATGAAAGATTGCTGTTGTTTTGTTAGGTGCCATCAAGTTGACTACAACTCATAGGGTCTCTATCAACAATAGATCAACACCCCTCCATAACCTCACAATTTTTTTACTATCTGGAGTCCATTCTCACAGTTACTGTATCAATCCACTCCACTGAGTGTCTCTCTCTTTCTGACCCTCTGCTTTTCCCAGCACAATGCCCTTTCCAAAGAATGGTCCCTTGTCACATCATGCGAGATAAATTTTCACCATACTTGCCTCTAAGGAATACCATGGTTGGCTTCTTCCAACACACATTTTTGTTTCTTCTTTCTACAGTCCGTTGTTGTTGTTGCTGTGTACCATTGAGTCAGAATCAATCCAAAGCTGACACTCTGGTGGGTTTTCGGAGACAGTTAATCACAAGGGATGAGACTGTCCATCCTTCTTCCACAGAGCAGCTGGTGTACTTGAACCACACGCCATAGGAATTGCAACACAGCTCCTTGTCACAAGGTCACCCGAGTGCCACACCAGGGAGTCTGTAGTATATTAAATACTCTTTGCACCACAACAATTCAAAGGTACAGATTCTTCTGGTTAGAAACTAGCAGCTACTCCCCAATAGACAGCTGTGTCAATTGGCTTCCATAAAGATTTTCAGCCTTGGAAACGGAATGGGCAGTTGTACTCTATTCAGAATTAATATAAGTGAATTTTTTATTTTTTTTTTTTTTAGTTTGGTAATAGCATCTCTAACACCACAATTTGAATGTAACAATTCTTTTCCTACCTTCTTTTTCATGGTTCAGCATTTGCACACATGTGAAGCAGTTGAAAATTCTTAAAACATTACACAACATGGGTGACCCTGCAGGACGTTATGCTGAATACAATATCTCAGTCACAGAAAGACAAATAGGGCATAGCACCGCTGTTATAAAGCAGGTCTGACATGAAGATTTGGGAGGAGAATAGGATAAGAGTGGATATATAATGAACACTATACTGAAATAGATGAAGGAAAGACTTTTAAATTAAAAGGAGCATATGATTAGGGATTACATGTACGACAATAGCCCAGAATAAGAGGTATATTGCAAAGAAGACTGATGGGAGAGAGGGAATTGTGTAACAATGAGTGAATATTTTAAAAAACAAAAAAGTGAACTAGGTGAGGGGGAAGGGAGAGAGGGAGAGGGGTTAAAAATGTACAACAATGAATGAGTGAAAATGTGACTTTTCTGTAAACTTTTGTTAAAATCACAACTAAAATAATTTTTTTTTAAATTCTAAGACTTAGATCAGGAACACCTCAATCATCAGATTTACACATGAATTTAGAAACTTTACAGTGGACTTTTGCAGCAAATTTTCCCAAATGATCAGGGAAGAAATATAAGCAGAATTCTTTCCTTATTAACAAGTAAGAAAAGAATTAAACTGACTTATTTTGGGCACATCACCAAGAAATACCAATCGTCAGAAAAGATTTTATTGAAGTAGAAGATGAGTAAAAACGATGGAAACTCTCAATAAGATGAACAGACACAATAGCCACACAATGGAATCAAGCACACCAATTCTCCTGAAATTTTGTTGTTATAAATAAGGTTTATGTATACTGTTGCTGTTAAGTGTCATTGAGTTGACTATGACTTACAGCAACTCTATGAACAACAGATCTGGACCCTGTGTTATCCAATACCATCTTTACAATCTCTGAAACACTCGAGCCCATTGCTGCAATCACTGTGTTAGTTCACCTGGTTGAGGGTCTTCCTCTCCTTCACTGTTCCTCCACCCTTCCAAGTGTGATGTCCTTCTCCAAGGAATAGCCTCTCCTAGCAACATATTCACATACGATAAAGTTTACCATCTTTGTCTCCAACAAACACCCTGGTTACACCTTCTCCAAGACATAGTTACTTGTACTTTTGGCAGCCCATGAGATCTTTAGCACTCTTCTCTAATATCACAACTAAATGACATAAATTCTTTTCCTGTCATCTTTATTCAATACCCAGCTCTCAAATGCATAGCAAGTGACTGAAAAGACCTAAATGGCCTAAACCAGGTGTACCTTAGTCCTCAAACTCACATCATTGCTCTTCCATAATTTGGAAAGGCCCCTGACTACACACTTTTACAGAGCAATACATCTCCTGATTTTTTGACTGTTGATGACAAGTGTATCAATTATGGACCCAAGAAAGATTAAGTTATTGACAGTTTTAATCTTTTCTCTATCTATCATGATGTTTCCTACCAGTCCAGGGCCAATAATTTTTGTTTTCTTGGCATTGAGAGGAAATCCATAGCAAATGCTTCAAGTTTTCCTCACTTTTAGCAAGCAAGTTTGTGATATCTGCATACCAAAGATTTTTTATGAGTCTTCCACGAAATCTGATGTCACATTCTTTTTAATAGAGTCCAGCTTCTTAAAGAATTTGCTCAGTATATGGATTAAACAGGTATGGAGAAAGGATACAATCTTGATGCACACCTTTCCTAATTTTAAACCATGTTCCCGTTCTCCACACAATGGCCTCTTGGTCTAGGTATACGCTTTGCATGAGCACAATTAAGTGTTCTGGAATTTCAATTCTTCTCAATTTTAGCCCTAAACTCTTACGATCCTCATGGTAAAATGTCTTTGCATAGTCAATACAACACAAATAGACATTCTTCTGGTATTCTTTGCTTTTAGCCAGGATTCATCTGACATCAGCAATGATGATCCTGGTGCCATGGCTTCTTCTAAATCCTGTGTGAATGTCCGACAGTTTTCTTTGTGTTGTTTTAGCTGGTTTTGAATGATCTCCAGCAAGATTTTACTTGAATATGATATTAATGGTATTATTCAAGGTTTCTACATTACATTGAATCACTTTTCTTGGAAATGGGAACAAATATGTGTCTATTCCAGTTAGTTGATCTGTACTCTGAATTTCCTTGGATAGACTGATGAACATGTCCAGGCCTACCTCTGTCATTTGGAAAATGTACACTTGTTTTGTTATACACAAGGCCACCAGACTTTGATGCAAAATTGATGTCAAATAATCATAACAAAAGTAATAACATCTTAAAGACTTTATTTCCAAAGTGGGTCATACTCTTCAGTACAACCAACATATATTTTTAGGGAGCATAGTTCAATTCATACCACTTTAATTCCATAGCTTTAAGTGCTATAAGAAAGACAGAAGAATAATTGATGTCTCTGAGTTATGATGTTGGAAGGAAAGTGATGGATATCTCAAGGACTGCCAAAAAAACCCCAAAAACAAAACAACAAACAATAAAAACCTGCTAAAAAGACCACAAAGAAACCTCTATGGAAGAAGTTCAACCAGAGTACTCTTTAGAGGAAAGTATGGTGAAACTTTGTCTCACCTATTTTGAGCATGTTTTGGAAGTCAGTCTTTAGAAAGATATATCATGCTTGGAAAGGTAGATGGTTAGTGAAAGATAGAAGACACTGAAGGAGGTGGATTGACACAGTGACTGCAACAACTGGCTTATGTATATTAGAAGTTATGAGAGTGGTACAGGATAGAACCAGGTTTAGATCTGCTGTTCATAAGATCACTATGAGACATGGTTGACTTGAAGGAACCTAGCACTACCAACTAAGGCACGTCTGATTCAGATTATGGTCTTTCTTATCACTTGTGATACATCTTAGAGCTGGACAATGAATAAGGATGACAGAAGAAGAATGAATGCTTTTGAGCTGTGGTGTTAGAGAAGAGTGCTGAACATCACATGGACTGCCAAAGGAAGAACAAACAAATATATCTTGAATAGGGTGCAGAGTGTTCTATGGAGGCAAAGATGATGAAGCTTTGCCTCACATACTTTGGGCATGTTAAGGGGCTATTCCTTGGAGGGGGATATGCATGTTTCTCAGAAAGGTAGAGGGTCAGAGAAGGAGAGGAAGACCCCCAATCAGGTCCATTTACTTGGTGAGTGCTGCAAGGGGCTCTAATGTATCAGGATGTGTGAGGATGGCACAGGATAGGACAGGGTTGTTCATAAGGTCACTATGGGTCATACTCTACTAAAGGACACTTAACAACACAACAACACTATCAACAACATAAGTTGTGATTAATATTGTGTGTAGTAAATTTTAATTTCAATATATTATTTGTTTTCTGGATGTTAATATGTAATCCATATTTGGGGCTGTAATCTTTGATATTCTGCAGCATTCCAACTCCAGTTCTCTTCCCAAGCAAAGTTAGGTCATCTGTATAAGGCAGTTTGCTAATGTGTCTTCCTCTCATACAATTACCACATTCTTCTTCATGTAATCTAGCACTTACTATGATTTGCTCAGTATGCAAATTTAATAGGTGTGGGGAAAGGACACAACCCTAATGAATATGTTTCCTGATTTTCAACCCTGCAGTGTTTCCTTCTACTGGTGTTTTGGGGTGTGTTTTTTTAATATATAAAGTTTTTCTTTTATAGTGGTTTACTTACAAAGGTTGTATACATTCTTGATCTATATATAGGTTTTAGATGAGAACAATTAAGAGTTCTGGAATCCACTTTCTCCCCAATGCTAGCCATAATTTGTTATGCTCTACAAAGTCAAACACCTTTTAGTAATCAATACAATAGAGATAAATACCTTTCTGGTACTATTTGCTTTCAGCTAAGATCTTTCTAACATAAGCAATGAAATCCCTTGTGTCATGTCCTCTTCTGAATGCAGTGTGTGTTCCTGGGGTCTTTGTTTTACAATGTATTCAGGGCTGCTTGACTCTTCCTTTATGGCCATTGGTTCTTGATCATTTGCTGCTTTCCAAAATGATTCAGAGAGGACCAACTTTTTTGGTATAGGGATTCTATATATTTCAACTTTACTGGTGGTTCCTTTTTTTTGCTGCTGGTTACACTTTAATACATCAGATGGGCTTTGGGGGACAGTGGGGCACATTCAGTCCTTCTTGGCAGCTGCCTTCCTCATGGCGGCCAGGACATTGCTGAGTTCTTCTCGCTTCCTCTTGGCGCGGATGTGTGTCCCCACCCTTTTCTTGATGAACTTGAGGGCCCGCTTGTCCTTGGAGACCTTGAGCAGCTCCATGGCGCGTTGCTCATAGGGTGCGAAGCCACACACCTCCCGGATCATGTCCCGCACGAACTTGGTGTGCTTGGTGAGGTGCCCGCGGCGGCGGCTGTGCCTCGGCTTGCTCACGTTCTTGGTGACTTTGTGGCCCTTGTTGAGGCCCACGGCCATAGGGTAGCGCACTGCCGTGGCTGCTGCACGTCGATGGCTGCCGCGGCGGAAGGTACTGGTGGTTCCTTCATCATCCAAGACTTTGTCTGTAGCATCCTTCAGTATTGCAACTCAGCCTTAAATTTAGTTTTCAGGTCTTTCAGTTTGAGAAATGCTGAGCAAGTTCTTCACTTTTTCTTTTCTAACTCCAACTCTTTGTATATTTCATTATAATACTTAATGTTCATGAGGTCATCTTGAAAGGTTCTGTTTATGTCTTTTACTTCAGCATTCATTTTTTTCCTTTGTTTTCACCTCTCTAAATTTCGGTGGAAATTTCAGAGTCTCTTTTTATATCCATTTTTATTTTTCCTATGTCTTTCTTCATGGATGATATATTTTATGTCATCCCACAACTCATCTAGTCTATGGTCATTAGTGTTCAGTTCATCACGTCACCATTGTTTTTGTTAGGTGCTGTCCAGTCGAGTATGACTCGTAATAACCCTATGAACAACCAATATAAACCCTGTTCTATGCTGTGTCGTCTTCACAATCTCTGACACCCTCAAGCCCATTGCTGTAATAACTGTGTCAACTCACATGGTTGAAGTGTCTTCCTCTCCTTCTCCATCCCTTCACCTTCCCAGCATAATATTCCTCTCTAAGGAATAATCTCTCCTGGCAATATGCTCAAAGTCTGTGAGATGAAGCTTTATAATCCTTGTTCCAAGGAATACTCCGATTATACCTCCAAAACATATGCTTGTTCTTTGAACATTCCATAGATCTTCAGCAGTTTTTTCCAATACCACAATTCAAGAGCATCAATCTTTAGTCAATGTCCAGCTCTCAAACACATATCAAGTGACTGAAAAGACCATGACCTTAATCAGGTACACCTTAGTCCTCAAACTGATATCATTACTTTTCCATATCGTGTAGAATTCCCTAACTACAGACTTTCCCAGTGTAATGTCTCTTGATCTCCTGACTGCTACTACAAAGTGTCTTGATTGTAGATCCAAGTAACATGAAGTTGTTGATGGTCTCAGTCTTTTCTCTATCATAATGTTGTCTATAGGTCCAGTGGCAAATATTTTTGTTTTCATAACATTGATACACAATCCATTTTGAAAGCTGAAGTGTTTAATCTTCTCCAGTAAGTGCTTCTAGTCCTCTTCACTTTCAGCAAGCAAGGTTGTGTCATCTGCATAAAAAGGGTAGTCATATGTCTCCCTCCAGTCTTGATGCCATTTACTTCTTAGAGTCCAGCTTCTCAAATAATTTTCTCGGCATGCAAATTAAATGGGGATAGAGAAATGACACAACTCTGATGCACAGCTTTCCTAATTTTAAACTATGCAGTGTTCCCTTACTCTGTTTGCACAACTACCTCTTGGTATGGGAGTAGTTTTTGCATGAGTACAATTAAATTCTGGAATCCCCATTTTCTTAATGTGAACCATAATCTGTTATGATCTACACAGTCAAATACCTTTGAATAGTTAATAAAGCACAAATAGAGATTCTTCTGGTATTCTTTTCTTTCCACCAAGATCACTCTATTTATATGATCCCTGGGTGATACAAATATTTAAAGAACTCTATTACTAATTAGAAGCTTGTCTGCTGGAACCTACCCAGAGCATTTAAGAAGATGGGCCTTCGAATCCACCAGATGCTCTGCTGGGGAAGGAGGGACAATCTCCTCCTGTACCAGTCAGATCTGATTTGACGGTACATGCACACAAAAATAATAAAATAAAAAAAATTTTTACAAAAAGGAGATGGGCCTAGTGATCTATTTATGAAAGGTCACAACCTTGAAAATCCTATGTAATTACACACATGTTGTTGTCGTCAGGTGCTCTTGAGCCTAGTATGACCCATAGAAACCTAATGAACAACAGATCTGACATATCTTATGCCATCATCACACATCCTGACACATTAGCTTGCATTGTGGCAGTTACCACGTCAGTCCACCTAAACAAGGGTCTTCATCTCCTTCATTGACCCTCTAACTTCCCAAACATAATGTCCCTGTCCAAAGAATAGCCCCTTCTAGCAGCGTACCTAAATGTGAGGTGAAACCTCATCATTTTTGCCTTCAAAGAGAATTCTGGCTGCACTTTCTCTTAGACCTATTTGTTTGTTCTTTTGGGCATCCGTGGGATGTTCAGTGGTCTTCTCCAATACCAAAGATGAAAGGAATAATTTCATCTTCTGCCATTCTTATTCATTGTCCAGCGTTCAGATGTATATCAAGTGATTGGAAAGACCATGACCTGAATCAGACATATCTTATTCCTCAAACTGACGTCATCACTCCTCAATAAATTGGAAAGATCCCTAACTGCAAGTTTTCTCAGTGCAATATACCTCCTGATTTCCTGACTGCTTCTACCAAGGGTGTTAATTATGAATCCAAGTAAGATGAAGTTATTGAAAATTTCAATCTTTTATCCATCTATCATGATGTTTCCTATTAATCCAGTGAAAGTATTTTTGTTTTCTTGACATCAAGAGGCAATCCATATTGAAGGCTGTATTCTTTGATCTTCTGCAACAAGTACCTCAAGTCCTCCTCACTTTCGGCAAGCAAGGTTGTGTCATCTGCATAACACGGGTTATTGATGAGTCTCCCTCTGATACAGATGGGACACTTTTCTACATAGAATCAAGTTTTTAAAATAATTTTCACACCATATAGATTGAATAGTTATGGAAAAATAATACAATCTTGACACGCTTTCTTCCTAATTTTAAACCATGTGGTGTTGTTCACTTGCTCTGTTCTGCGTTTTGCGTGAGCACAATTATATTCTTTGGAATTCCCATTTGCCCCAATGTCAGTCTTAACTGCGATACTGAACACTATGGAACTGGGGTGTCAAATGTCAAAAGGTTACAAATGGTGAACAGGTTTTAGTAGAGTTCCCAGATTAAGACAGCTAAGAAGAAGAATTGGCCATCCACTTCTTAAATAATGGGCCTGTGAAAATTCTATGAACGGTTAAATAATGTGTATCGCTATAGTAGTATAGGAGAGCCCAGATTGGAAGTCAGTTGAAATGAGTAAATATAATGTTAAATGAGTAAATATAATGTTAAATTAGTAAATATAATGTTTAATAGATCAAACACATAATTGTACATAGCTTGAATGTTGAAAACCTAAAAATAGTGAAAAATGAAATGGAACACATGATCACTAACATACTAGGCATTAGTGAGATGAGATTTGGCCACTGTGAACCAGATAATTATGGTATACTATTCTAGAAATGAAAAACAAAAGAAACATGGCATTGCATACACAGTCAGAAATTCAATTTCAAGTTCTATCCTGAAACAAAATATTGTGAGTGATGGGCTATTATCGATACATATACAAGAGAAACCCATTAATACTACAATAATTCAAATATACACTTCTACATCTAGAGCAAAAAAGGAAGAAATTGAAATTTTTAAGCAAATCTTGCAGTATTAAATTGACCAAATATGCAATCAAGATGAGTGACTGCAATGCAAAAGATGGAACCAATGAAGAAGAAATAATAGTTGGAAGATATGGGCTTAATGATAGAAATGAGGCTGGAATGATATATAATTTTGTATTTTCAATAATTTATTAATCCCAAATACCTTTTTAAAAAAGACAGAAATGATAATTATATACATGGACCTCACCAGATGAGCTGCATAGGAATCAGATTGAATATATCTATGGAAGGAATCTGTGGAGAAGCTCAGTATCTGCAGTCAACACTAAGCCAGGAGCAGATTGTGGATCAGACCATCAGTTACTCATGTTCAAGTTCAAATTGAGGCTGAAGAAAATGAAAAAAAAGTCTAAAAGAACAAAGATATGATATTGAATCTATTCTATCTGAATTTCAAGGTCACCTTAAGAATAGATTTGAAATATTGAACACTAATGATCAAAGACCAGAGGAATATCATCCATAAAGAAAGCAAAAGGTCATAACAAAGATAGAGGAGAAAGGGGGGGGAACCCCACACAACTAAAATGGATGTCAGAAGAGACTCTAAAAATTGCCTCAGAGTGTCAAGAAGCCAAAGCAAAAGGAAAACATGAGGAAGGTAAAAAAACAAACAAACAACAACAATAACAAAAAACCCCCAAACCTAAACAGAAGGTTTCAAAGAGCATGTCAAGAAGACAAAGCTAAGAGTTGTAATGAAATGTGCAGAGAGCTTGAACTGGAGAATAAATAGGGGGAAACTCGCTCTGCATTTCTCAAGCTGAAAGAAGTGAAAAATTCAGGCCTCATGTTACAGTGTTGACTTAGGGTCATTATAAATTGAAATGAACACAGCAGCTAATAACAGTTCCACCTATGCCACAGTATATTAATTTTACTGCTGTGTACAAGAGAGCACACTTAGGATTGGCTAACATATAAATTAGTGAGACTGATTCAGGACAGAGCAGAGTTCAAAACTGCGTATGTACCTAGGGTTGATATGGGTTGCAGGCGACTTGATGGCACAAAATAATAAAACAATAACAGTGTTTCACAAACTTCATACCACACTTACAAAGTTTATCAAAACATGTTTCTTTGTGTTAATTTTGTGAGCTATTAATACAGACATGAGATTGTTTGATCATAGAGTATTAACAACTTCAACTTATAAAGTTCAACTAAGGGTACTGAGGAGGGGCAGGACCTCTATGAGGTGGATTGATTCAGTGACTTGGATAATCGGGATGGGAGTGTCAGAGACAGTGCGATTGGCACAGGACAGAGCAGAGTTTAGGGCTGTTGTACATAGGGTCACTATG